CCAAACCTCTCCCTGTCCTGGGACGCTGCAGAAAACCTTCCACAGCCACAGACCTGACGCTGTGTTTTCATTCCTGGGCTTAAACAAAGGTGGCCACTGACCTTCCCAAGGGGAAGGTCAAGGCTAAGAAGGAAAACATCCGCCCCAGATTGTTTTGCCTTAAAAATAAAATGCAGCTTTTTGTTTCAAGTCATTGTGTGAACTGAATTGTCAGCCCCCTCTTGCAGAAATACGTGTTTGTTTTCTGACTGAGTGCCGAAATACGCATTTAAATAACACTGGGTTATGTTTTCCTTCTTATTACCTTTGAAATTGGAGTATTTGATCCGTTATTTTTATATACCAAGTAAGTATATTTGATAGGCATTAAAAACCAGGCCATTTCCCTTCTCAGTTTATAGTTTTCCATACCCAGCTCTGGATATCAATGCAGCTGTCAGGTAATTTATCCAAAGCCCAAAGTCCAGTTCCCTCAGGTATATTCTATTTCTCAGTAACTGCTCCCTATTTTATAATAACAAATAGGACTCTTGGTTTCTTTAGGGTCATTAGCCTGTGTCTGCCTTATAAAATGGGATATTCCCAGCTCAGTCCTGGGAGCAGAGTTATTTAGAATCCTCAGTAATGACCTGGTGGGGAAAACAAATTGCACATTGATTAAATGTACAGATGTCAGACTGGGAGCAGCTGGGCCTGGTGGGAGATGGAGCAAAATGAAAATAAAAAAAAAGATCTGGAGGCACAGCCCCATCTGGGAGGAGGAAATATGTGTGACTCTGCCCGTGGTTCTGTGTGTTTTGGTGCAAAAAGAGCAGTTTTTGGTGCACACAGAGTAGGTGGGGATGGTGCTGGGGAGGGAGCAGTCCCAGCTGGTGTGGAGGCTGGGCAGGAGGAGGTGGAGATGTGCTGTGGGCCTTGGATTTCTGTTGGAACACAAGGAAAATCAGACAGAGACGGGAAGATGCGGGAGAGGATCTTGTGAGCTGGAAAAAGGGAGGCTGAGTATCCAGGACTCGATGAAATATTGATGCCCTGAGACAGCCACGGGCATCCTGGGATGGGCACCAACCTCCTCTCTCTGCTTTCAGCCCATTAAAACAATATTTTCCCTCATTTTTCCTTAATTTTCTCCCTGTGCTGCCTCCCCCAGCAGGGCTGGCCGTTTTTAATTCTGAGTCTGATTGAGGCATCGATTATTGAAACCTGAAAACACCAAGTGCAGAAATACAGCTGAGTGCTCTGGGTGGGGCTTCAGAAACCTGGAGCTGAACCAAAACCTCGAGACCTCTCGATGTCACGGGGTTTATTTTTATTATTTGAAGTATTTTAAATAAAAGGAGTTGGCTTATAAACCAAGTATGTGTTTTGGTAAGGGATTGACATGTATAATGGGCAGTGTAATAATGTATGTAATCAGCTCTGGAGTTGGAATTAAACTGTTAGTTATTTTAAGTTAGTAATTTGCATCTTTTTGCACTTCCTTGTATCAAAAAGGTGCTGCTTTATTTTTCCTTAGGTGAAATCTGGGAAGCACAGTTACATTAATTAACACGGTGGAAGCAGCCCAGACTTGCCTGCTATATTTTCTTTTGTTTTGTATTAAGTGTTATTTTAAAATGAAATGTTTGAAGGCTCCAAAATGTTCCTGCTATCAATAACTTGCTGCCTTGTTGTCAACGTTGGCACATAATCCGTCAGTGGCAGACACCAGGAGAGACTGAGGCTGATTTTAAATCTAGAGCTGTGGTTTGCCTTTATTGCACATTGATTACAGAGTTGTCCCCGTAATTATTGATCAGTGATTGATTTCAAATCCCTTTGTTGATTATTAAAAAACCTATATACATATATATATATATAAATACATTTTTAAAATGTATTTTGTAAATACATTTAGTGGATCATTTGATGACAGTGGTTAAAAATACATCTTTAAACACATTGCAGAAGGAGGTGGGTTTGGAGGCCGCTCAGGGAAGTGGAAGATGCTGGATGTGCAGGTGTGTGGATATAGGTGCAGATGTTGGTGTATAGATCAGGGATGTATGGATACATCTCCATCAGCATGTCCCATGGCAGGAGGGCTGGAACTGGATGATCTTTAAGGTCCCTTCCAACCCAAATCCTTTGGGGCCAGAGGGATGCAGATGGGCTGTGGTGGGAATGCTCGGGAAACACCGGGCATCGCCAGTGTGCTGGTGGGGCTGGGGGGACAACCCTCCCTCCTGTGCCCTCCCTGAACAGCAACTTCATCCTTCCTTGTCTCCCCTCCCTCCCAGGCCCAGAAGAATGAGCGGGAGTCCATCAGGCAGAAGTTGGCCCTGGGCAGTTTCTTCGACGATGGCCCGGGACTCTACACCAGCTGCAGCAAGAGCGGCAAGCCCAGCCTGTCATCCCGGTAAGGCACAGACCCTGCAGCCCAAAACCTCCCTGGAGCCTGGAAAAGGGGAGATGCCTCCAGTGGGACACCCCAAAACCTTCCCTCAGTTTTTGCTTTCAACCATACCCCTGGATTTTCCTTGGTTTCGAGCAACATCTTGGGCCCCAAAGGCGGTCGTGTGTTATGTAAGCAGTTGTGAACAATATGCTAAAATACTGATTTAAAACTGTACAGAAAGATGTTTGGATGCTCAGGGGGTAAAGCAAATAAGATCAAGTTACCTGAGTTAGGTTTCCTTCAGATTTTTTTATAATTTGGAACATGTTGCCCAG